ATAGCTATGTGTGTCAGCTTAACTGGGTCTACACTGGCAAAAAGACTGCCTATGAAGAGGAAGAAGAAAAAAGTTTCTTTTTATCATTGATAGCCCTTTTCAACAAAGAATGTAGGGAATATGAATTAATCTGTTTTTAAATGGAGTTATGGAAGTAGAGAGAAGTTAAGTGACTTATCTTAGTCCATACAGTAAATCACTGTCAGAACTACAGCTCATAAGAAATTTTTTTTTAAATTGTCACAAAAATGTATCCTGTTTTTAATTAAAAAATAAACACCTTTCTGAAATTTTCCAACAGCACTAGTTACAACCAGGTCCCCTAGTTACAACCTAGGTCTATAACTAAGACCAGCTCCCCTGGCTACCTCACTTAACCTATCTGGATCAGTTTATGAAATCCATATAGGACATTCACAACACTGACCCCATTGTGTGAGGCCATGCATCTTAGGGAGAGAGAACAGCTGATTATCCACACATCTATCACATCCCTTAGCTTGTGCAACTGATGATAAGATGCATGTGATTTCTGTGTGCCATCCTGCTGGATACCTCTGCATCACTAACACCCCTTGTCCTCACATTGTCCAAGTTTCCTCCTCAAAGATGATCCAATATGTGAGCTCACACATATAACATCAATGGACTGATAACTGCTTCTCATGTTTATTGACAGGTATGTTATTTTTCACATGCACCCCCTACATCTCTAGTCCTGCAATGAACTCTGTCTTGGGAGATCGTCAGGGGACTTGCACAGAACTCACTGAAAGATTGGGCCCTAAGTCATCAAATGAGAATGCCAGTAAATCAAGTGCCAGCTTTGCATTAAGCAAAAAGAGCATGGTACTCTGAGTTGTTATCCCCATTTTACAGGTAGGAAAACTGAGATAGTGAGCAAGTAATTTGACTTGGCCAGGTGTTAAATGTGATTTTCATGGGCTGGAAGAAGCAGAGCTTGACCTCCGAGAGTGAAGCCCACCCCCAGAAAAAGCAGGGACTTTCCCAACAACAGCAGAGAGCAGCAGTGGGACAGGGACAGTCCCTGCTTTCGACCTCTTCCCTTGCCCAGACCTGTGTAGTCCCTGGATGCCAGTGATGGGAACAGACTGCTTTTTCAATTAGTACTCTGGACATAATTTTCTCTTTTTAGTAAAAAGTTTGTATTACTTCAAGAACATGTGTGAACAACCAATAGGCAAACAAGCATAATAATACAATTATGTATGTTACATTTTTTTGTTGCTGAATTTTTTCAGAAATAAAATAGTACAACAAAAAGACATATGAGAGACAAAACAGCACAATCATAAAACTATAGTGAATGTAAGCCTAGCAATGACAGAGCCAGAGGACGACGACGTACCAGAAAGAAAAAGCGGGCCTAAATATATAATAAGGGCTTAAAAACAACACAAGGCCCATATCCATATCATAATGTTAAAAAGCAATTATATTTATCAGGATTCTTCATTACTTTTTCAGAGTTCTTCACTAAAAAGGGGCACTGAATTGTACCAAAATCACTAGGAGCCATTTTTGTGCTAACAATAAGCTTTTCAATAGGAAATATATCCCATATCCTTTTAAACCAAATAATTGTATCTGGAGGTTCCTTCTTTTGCCATCACACAATTAAGGAGCATTTTGACAGTAGATTAGAAATAAACTTAGAATTTTTCAGTGGCCACTTGCCTTTCACAGAAGGTAGCATTCAGATGCCCACAAAATGAATTTAAGTCCAGTGGTTTAAAAGATTAAATGAAGGATAGATGTAAAAAAAAAAAAGGCTATATTTGGACATCCTGTTGGACATGATTTTAAAAGCACCTTTCCCACCATACTCACTCTAGCATATGTATTTGAGAAAGAACTTCTGGTGATTTGTTTAATAGAACACATATAGAGGAGCTAGCTGCTCTGTTCTAAATTTGGGACCAGTGCTCCAAAGAGGTCTCTTCCAATGTTGTTCCCATTTTGACATATAGCCATTTCTATCCTCCATATCACTTTTAAGAGTTCAATTAAGCCTTTATAGTCTTAATATTGGGACATTATGGCTTCCACTGCTGAAAAAGTCTTTCAAGCCTCTTTCTATCTTGAGTATTAAGTGCACAATGCTTTAACTGTAGTCTGGGAAGAAAAGGGATCTGGAGTAAATAAAGATTTATTTATTTAATTATTTTAAAAGTAGCAGCTGTGAAAGAGATTATGCCAGATTTCCTCCCAGAACAAGGGAATTCTGGAACTTGTAGTCCAGGGACCATTGGAGTTGTAGGCCAGAGAGCAAGGTCTGCTGGGAAAGGAAGTGGTATAAATGCAAGTCACTTGTCTTAGAATGGGGAGAAACTTGTAGAGAATAACTGCTTCTAAGGACTCTTAAGTAATTGGGGACTGGTCAAGAGTTGTGGTGGGCTCTCTGCTGAGATAGAACTAAGGAAGGGGTGTGCTGTGCTGAAGAAATGTGTGGAAGGGCCAGGATTGAGGTCTGAGACAATCAAGGGAAAGAAGTAGCCCTGAGGAAAGACTGAATCAAACAGTTGAGCTTGGAGCAGATGTCTCTTTCATTGGTTAGAGCTTCAGGGCTTGAGCCTGTGGTAGGAGGGCTCCTCTATGTCCTAGAGTGCTGCCTTAGGATGGTGTCCTGAGACCCCTGTAGCTAAGGAAAAAGATCATGGATACCTAATACAAATTGGAGAAGGTCATGGTCTCACACATCCTGGAGGAAGGATGAAGGACTTTGTAGTGCCTTGGCACTGAGGGGTGAACCTTAGATTTGTGACTTTATTTTTTTTCAGGGGAGGGGAGACTTTTTGCCTTTTGGGGGGGGGACTTTTACTTGGGCTGGTGGACTAACCTACCATTAGAAAAGAGAAACTGAGGCACAGAAGAGGGGAAAACTGAGACAGTGGCTGAACCTGATGTTGGAGAGGTAAAAAAAAAAAATTTTAAACCACTTCTTTTTTTTTAATTGTGTTAGATCCTAAACTCTTTGATATTGTCTCCCTATGTAATCTGTAGAGTCCAGTACAATGGGGCTCTGATTCTGACTGGGATCTTTGGGCACTACTGAAATATAAATAATAATGTTAGTGAACTAGATGTGACTGGGAGTGTGGAACACTCCAAAGGTGATTTGTTGTGAGACTTTTGGTAAGTTACTTAACGTGCCTGCCTTGGTTTCCCCATCTCTAAAACAGGAACTACTATTATTAAACATGTTTATTATGGGGGTGCCTAAGACTAATCAAGAATGAGGTCCAGTCTGCCAGGCATGTGCTTACACACACAGATTAGTCCCTGCTGTGAGGATCTTACAATCTAAATAAAGAGAGACAAAAGGTGGGAGGAAAGAGGTATAACAAACAGAGCAATAGCAGCAAACATCATGTTAATGTCAAGATTTTTTTTTTTTTTGTAAGGTGGGTTTAGTTAGGAGGGGATAAGACCTCATTAGGAACAGAACTTGCAAGTTTCTGGGTTTGTAATTTTCTTGTCATTCTTTTAGGACAGCTGGACCTCTGATAAGTGGGTGGTAGTTAAGAGGGAGGCAGACTGGCTGGCTGTGACAAGTAGTACATTGGGATGGTGAGACAATAGTGGTAGGAAAAGACAGATGGTGCCTACTTGAGAGACCTGATGATGGGGGAGGAAAGGGCTGGATGGTGGGATGCAGGTGGATAATGGGAGGTGATAATGGGTAGCCGGGTAATGGTGTGTGTCTAGGTAACCAACAGTAGTGGACAGTGGGAAACTGTTGCAAAGCATGGTGACAGGTGGCAGTTATGGGCAAGCAGTGGAAGATGATGGTAAGTGGGAAGCAGCAGCAGCAGCCACCTGCCTGGATTTGGGCTTCATCAGCTAAAATGACTTGTGGTTATGGGAGGCAGTAGTCAAGGCCCTATTTACTCTATGGCACAATGGGACCTAATTCCATGGCAGTAACTCCAAAATTCTACTTCAGCACTAACTTATTGTATTGCTTCATTTCCATCCTCACTGCAAACTGGATTCCAACTATTTCCTCAACTTGCTGCTGCTCTGTGGAAGAGGGCAAGGGGCCTGTTATAATCTAATTTACCCCCCCTTGCAGGAAGACCTGAGGAACAGTAAGCATGGGAGGCAGGCAGACTAGATGAAGAACAAAATGCCAGGTGATTGGTTATAGGGAAAATGCTGAACTCTGCAGCATCTTTGAAAAATTCTGTATTTCAGAAAAATCCACAGGGCCCTGAATGAGATGAATGGGGAAGGTCACATCTTAACAACTATTTTTCAGGATGTTTGCAGGCTCAGCGGGGCAAGGTTGCATTGACTTGTTGCTTGGCTCATTCTCACGGTTATCTCTGCAACCCATAAAAGCCAGAAACATAATCTGTTTTAAAACAAACAGATTCTGGAGCCC